CTAACTTTAGCCTGATAGCACTGAAAGCGAACAACCCACCCTCCCTGCAATCGCCGTCCAAAGCCACGCCCCCTGAACGCATATACAGTGGGTACGGAAAGGGACTTCAATGGATTTCCTCTGCTCAGGGTGTAGGGAGCAATGGACACTGTGTAGGGATCATATCGATCTGAACACAGTTCATGCACATAGCTCACTTCTAACGAGCTGGTTATCTGAATCAGGTGTGTTAACTAAGCGAGACATGCAAAATATGCAGACCGGGGTGCGCGAGGGAGGACTGGATTAACCGCTGGGCTACATCATGTGTCATTCACCGGTGAGAAAACTTTAAAAGTACTACAATACCAGGAAGGAAGATCGGGTTGTTGATGTTTGTCTGCCATTCTCGCTCTGTCTGCACAGCGTGCGTGAACGCGCTGATGACGTATCCTGTCTGCGCGAACCCGTTGCGCAGAGGTATGTTAATACATACGTTGACAGGCAGGTAGGAAAGCATATTAAAAAGCGTTTTGATTGGACGAACATTTCTTGATCCTACGCCTTCCACAGAACATATAAATACAGACAAATACATTTAGACCACTTAACTTAATGATTGCTATCAGGATGTGAAGAGACTTTCAACCAGCATAACAAAAAGTTTTTCTGAAGACAATCACCTATTGCACCTTTAAGGAAGATATTGACTGATTTATTATCTTTGATTTTTACGAAACATTTACATTTACTGACAACGTTTTTGACATTTTCTCTGCACCTTTCACTCGCACTATTCACACAACCTGAGAGACAACCTGCTGTTTGCTTCATGCATTATCATATAGTGCATGAGTGATCAGTGACCATTATTCCAGAAAAAAGTACATTTCTTCATCTCTGCAATGAATTTTCTGTTGCTGTAACCAAGAATGCAGGCAGAAGTATTAACTAATAATATTGTAGTATTGTAGAATCAAACTGAATAAAATGTGCAGTATTACCAGCTTAATATGCAGTTTAACTAAAAATATGGCTTGTTGAAGTGAAGTGTGTTTATAAATGCTGTTTCATGTAGAGAAAGTCCTCAGAGGACTTTTAAAGCACATTGTGCCCCAGGGGACAGTACACAGCCCACATCAAGGTTTGAATGACATGTAGTGAATGCTGAGGCTTCTGATATAAGCAAAATGAAGGATATTGTCCATTTTTAGAGTAGCCCACTACTGTTTCCCTTGCTGAAGAGGAAAGACCCCAGGCACACAGTGGGTAGTGTGATGGAGAATGAGAGATGAAACGTTTAATGTGTTGAGTGGTTGAGTAAAGGTTTTGTGTGTGTGTGCGTGTGTGTGTGTGTGACTAATTTTGCTTGCACACACGCACACTCTATTAGTTGTGTTGATTGCAGAGCTGTGAAATTGCATGTTACAGCCATTACATGAGACGCATATTTAAAGCTAACTTTCTCTCTCTTGCTGTTCTTTCCTCCCTCCTAGTGACTACAAGGCTCTCAATCCTCAAGATATTAAAGAAAACAACAAAAAGGTAAATGCTACACACTCCCTTCCTCTCTTCGTTTGTTTGTGCATCAGTAATCCTCCTCATAGGTGATTTATTTTGTTATAACTCTGATTCACTCCCACCCTGCGTTCTCTAATTGCCACTTTCAGAACGCGGCTCCCCTGCTGACACTGATGGAAAGAGTGTGTGTTTGTGCATGTTTGCTTGTGTTTGTATGGATGAAGGAAGTCACCTGGGAGTCGTAAGATAGCATCATAATTCATAAACATGCTATAAATGAACTTTACAGGCTTCTCCACAGAGGGAGAAGGAAAGAGAGGGAGGGAAAGAAGAGAAATAAAGGGATGTTAATCACACACTTTGGACCAAAGAGGTCCAAACAGAAGACACACACACAAACTTGTAAATATACTTGACCTCCCATTAACTTCTGTTGTTTTAAATTAAGCACTTATAATCTTATAATAGCTACACCAAACCCAAGCCCTTATAAACTTTTGAAATATTATTATTATTTCCTTTTTCTTTTTTAACAATAGTTTTATATGGACACAGTAATTGCATTTTGATCCACACCAAATCAGCATATTAGAATGATTTCTGAACGATCATGTGACATGGGATGGAACCTTTATAAAAAAAAGACAGAATCTGTTGCACTGCACCCCCTCCCATTCCTCCTTTTTTCTTTTACTTTCTTTTAGTCACTTTCTCCTCCTTTCTCCCGTTATTGTTTTACATTATACCTTGTTCCATCCATTCAGGAATTTTCAGTGGGATGTGCACGACGAATGAGCTGTGAGAGAGTGAGGAAGGTGTGAATATTGCTGTCAGCTCTCAAATGCCTGTTTAAATAAACCGCCAGGTGTCTGTGCCAACAAGGATTACTCCAAGCATCTCTCTTCCTCTCTCTCAAAACACACACACACACAATGCACAGCAGCGCACGAATGTATATTTGCTGAAGAGTTGCTTCCTGGATTCATTTGGAATCTATTTGGATTTGTGGATGTATAAAACTTAATTCCTCTGTAATTCCGCTCCAATGAGCGATCACTGTATTCTGGAGCGCTGCAGATTAACTCTTATTTCAGCCCTCAGATGAACTCCATTTAGACTTTATTAGGTGTATTTAATGTGCTCCTCACGCTCTCCTTTCTTTCATCCATCATCACTTTACCCTACACTCAATACCTGCAGTCACTTCCTGAGTTCATTTCCTGCTCTCTCTCGTTCTGGGACTATCATATACACAGTTTTTCTCTTTCCAACACAGTGAAGAGTGTGTCCTTTTGCGTCCTTTTCGCCCAAGATGAGGAGGTTAAGAGCACTCTCTATACAGCCCCAAACACACACATTTATATAAAATGCATTCATTTCCATTTGATAGAATCAGCGCGACCCTCTCTGGCCCAGCCATGATTGCAATAATCTCCATTGAAATATGACAGATAAGAGCAATCAATAGCAGAGGGGAGAGGAGAGGACGGTTTGGTCATACAGGCAGTGAAAAGAATTATTTTCTGTGTGTGTGTCTAGAGAGAGACCAGCAGTAATTTCCCATGATATCTGATCTGTGCACGCACATGTGCGCGTGCGTGTATGTGTTCCTCGATAAATGTGCGGACAGGGGGGAAAAGCCCCTCTGGCTGTGTGTGTGACTGACAGCGATGGATACCTGTCAATCATTCAGCGATGTCATTCACAAAACAAAACGCTTTTCATTGTCCGTTTAGCGTGGGGGAGGGGCTGACCGTCCGGAGCAGGAAGGGAAAGTCTTAAACACACAATTACACAGTTCACACGGGTTATTAGTGCCGCTGCATCATTTATACACAGATAGAGAGCAAACAGCACATTTCTGTCAGTTGAATAAATGGCTTTTGTAGTTATTAATGCAGTACATCAGAAGCATGTTTTTGGGCTTAATTCATCTGGATGTGTTTGGTAACACACACTTGCACACAAACTGCTGTTTACATAGTATATTTATTTTAATCAAGCATGATTTGTTGTTTTGAAGACTAAAGCAATGAGACACAGAAGACACCCTTCATTTTTTTCCCTCTCCCAAGCAGCTTGATGCTCTCTCTAAATAAACATTGATACATACACTCTTCATAATCTGTGTAAAAATGTAAATAATGATAATTTAATTACTTTAATAATAAATATAATATTATTATATATAATTTTATCATTTGATTCACTATGTATACTTCCTTATCCTTTATTATTATATGTTTATTCACTACCGTTAAAAGTTTGGGATCAGTACAAAGTTTTTTTTTCCATAAATTAATGCTATTATTCAGTAAAGACATGTTAAATTGATCAAAGTTGACAGTAAATATGTTTATAATGATTTATAATGTCTCTGTTTCAAATAAATGCTGTTCTTTTGAATTTGGTGTTCATCGAAATATCCTGGAAAAATGTAACAAATTTCAGATTTCAACATTGATAGTAAGAAGAAATGTTTCTTCAGCACTAAATTAGTGTTTTATATAATAATTTCTGAAGGATCATGTGACACTGGAGTAATGACTGCTGAAAATTCGGCTTCATCACAGAAATAAATTACATTTTAAAAATATATTAAAACATAAAACATGTTATTTTATATTGCATTAATAATTTATAGTTTTACTGTTTTTACTGTATTTTTTATATAAAAAAATGCAGCCTTGCTGAGCATATAGGAGACGACTTTCATGTTTCATTTATACTCCCCGGTCACAAACTGTTTTGCTTTTCTTTCTTTTTTGAATTTCACATATGAAAGCTACTATTTAGATTTGGGCCACATTCAGCTGCAGTGTGAATGTAGCTCAAGTTTAAGAATCTCCAGCAGACACTTTAGTTTCATTCATTCCACCAATTATACACTCTTTCTTTAGAGCTAAACCCCAAACAACATATACCTGCAGACTTTTTTTGTTTTCCCACCCTTATTCATTCCCCTTTTTTCTATTCAGCTGTCTGTACCTTACATTTCCTTCACTCTGCAAAGCTCTGCATCACCATCGCTATTGTTAGCCTGCAGCAAACGAGAAGGCATGAGAGAAAGAAAGATGTGATTAATTGTAAATTGAGAATCGGTTTACCTTTGATTATCCCTTCTCACCCTTTCTCTTGCTTTCTCTCTCTCTCACTCACGCCAATAAAAGGGACAAACCTGATAAAGTCAGTAGATGGGTAAATGGCAGAGGTTGAGACAATAGTCAACACTTGTCAACAGAGTAAAATTCTCTCGGCCGTCAGCTCAACTCTGATAGCAGCTCTGATAAAGCGAATCAGGGGGAGGACGAGACAGAAGGTTAATTTGTAGGCTTTTCTTTATACTGTTGTATTCTCAAATTCTTAAGAGAAAGAGAAAGTAGCTTTTCTTTCATTCGTTCGGTGGATTATCGCGATAATGTCAGCCAGTTTACTTTCACTTCTTCCTTCCGTTTCTCTCTCTCTCTCCCTCTATCTCCTGATCAGGGATTGAGTTTGGCTGTTTGATTATCTGCCTGTTCTCCTCAACCGGACAAATCAGTGCAATTATACTCACTGCTGAGAGAGAAAGAGAGAGAGAGTGACGGAAAGGGGGAGAAAGAGAGAGAGAGAAAGTGAGAGAGATGGAAGGAGGGTGAGTGGGAGATGTATGCGATAAGACTGAGGCAGGATTAGTTTAGTGTTTCTTGGTATCGTGCTCTCTTATCATGGAGAACCATCCTTGACATTAGCTGTCACCGCCTGCCGCATCCTACTGATCCCAGCTTGTCTTATCCCAAATCTAATTCCTGCATGCACCCTACACCCTAACTGTCCCTCCCTCCCATCACCCTACAAACCCTGTTCTTCCCTTTCACCCTTTACCCTGTGTTTTCTTTTTCCTTCATCCCATACTGTACCTTGGCCTTCTTTCCCACTCTATAGCCTATAGTTTACCCTTTTACCCTGCACCCAACCATTCATTTTCACCCCTCACCCTCCACCGTTTGTCCCTTTCACCCTTTCACCTTTATTTCAACTAATGCACTACCCATACCACCTCATATTTATTTCATCCTTCCCTTTCTTCCGACAGCCTGCTATATATTCTCTCTTAAACCTCCCTTTCCAACTTCCCTCAAGTAGTCCAAATTAATACCCACTATAATCCAAATATAATAATTGACTTTGATAAATAAATCTGTAAAAGACTCTTTAAAAATTTTAATTTTTTATTTTATTTTAGGTCTATAGATTTATAGAACACTATAGAATAGACTGATCCATATTTATTTATTTGTTTATTTACTTATTTATTTACTTTTATTTTTATAGAATGAGTCTGTTTAATTTAATGAATGATTTGGTTGACAGATGCTTATTTTAAAAATATCAGTTTGTATCTATCATACTGTCTCTATCGATCATTCTGTCATATGTTATGTCATATATTCTATTGTTTATGCATTTATTTACCATTTATTAATTTATTATTCATTTTATAGAACAATTGTCTGATCCAGATTTTTAATTTAGAAGAATTATTATCTGACCCAGACTTAATTTAGTTATTTTGATGAATGATTGGGTTGACAGATTTATTCTAGTTTAGTTTAGTTTAGAATTTAAAGTAAATGTTGCACCCTATATTCAGCTGTAGTGTTGTTTTAGTGTGTTACAAAGGACTGACACAACTGAAATCCTTTTTTTATTTTTTTTTTATTTTTTTTTTCAATCAATCCTTATTTTTTGGTCCACCAGTTCTTGTTTTATTTACTCTGTTTCATTTTATACAGTCCTTTATTGTCTATGCTTTATTTTAAACCTCATCTGTTTTTGTGTATGCAGGCATATGATGGCTTTGCCAGTCTGGGAATCTCTCGGCTTCTGGAGCCATCTGACATGGTTCTGCTGGCAATCCCGGATAAGCTGACGGTGATGACATACCTGTATCAGATCCGGGCACATTTCAGCGGTGAGGAACTCAATGTTGTGCAGATCGAAGCCAACAGCAGTTGTAGCACATACAAAGTTGGAGACTTTGAAACGGACACAAACAGTTCTATCGACCAAGACAAGTTCTACGCCGAACTTAACGACATTCACCGTGAGCCCACTAATCAGGGTGCTGCAGCAACCAATGGTGGGCATGGTGTTAAAGAAGAGCAGGAAGTGAAGTCAGTCATGACAAGCGGAGGATCTGGTTCTCTATCCGCCTTCCCAGGGGAAGTTCTAAAAGATGTAGTTCCATCTTTACGGGCGTCTACGGCAGACCGTGTCTCTCCAGCAGCACCAACCGTCAATGAACCTCACCCACGACCCACCCAATGCACCAGAACCAGCCTGGAGACCTCCACCAGCAAACCTCCCACTGCAGAACAGAAAAAACTCCTCAAAGCCGATACACTGGACATGGGTGACCCGTCTCACAGGCTGGAGAGAGAAAAGGAGAGCGGGCAGTCGGGTGGGTTGACCGCCGCTGACACCAGAGACTCCAGGGAGAAGCACGAGACCTCACGGCCTGGTGAAAGACAAACTGAATGTGGGTCACCCACGTGGCAGACCGGGTCTTCTCTAACAAACACACATAAACTGGGCTTCACATATAACAGAGACACTGATCTAATCAAGAAGAAGAGAGCGAGTTTGCGCCACTCTGAATCTGACAGCACCTCAGACAGCAGTGCCCAGACCAACCACACACACACACCCGCTAAACTCACACAGGTAAATGTCAACACACAAGCGTGCTTCATATTCACATAAATCTGAGCAAAATGTTCTATCTGTCTGTCTGTCTGTCTGTCTTTCTTTCTCATTATGAAAATGAATTGGTCAGAAAGTTCGAGAACCCTGTTGAGCAGTCAAAATTACCAAACCAAACAAGCAAACAACATCAAACATACAGTGGGTATAGAAAAGAATCACCCCTTTAAAATACTCACATTTTGTTGCTTTGCAGCGTGAAATGAAGATGGACACAGTTTTTGTTTTATCCAGCTGTATTTACTCAGTGAAAATTATAACATCCAAGTGTTAGATATAACACCAACATGTCAGAAGTCATTGGTAGGGCATCTGAAGCAAACAATCAACTATGGGTGGCAAGGCACTGTCAAAAGATCTCCAGGATAGAGTTGTGGACAGGCACAAGTCAGCAGATGGATACAAAAAATTTCAAAGGCTTTATCAATGCCTAGAAGCACAGTGAAGTCTATTATTAAGAAGTGGAAGGTATTTGGTACAACAAAGACCCTCCCTGGATCAGGACGTCACTCCAAACTGGATGAAAGAGCAGGAGGAAACTGGTCAGAGAGGTGACCAAGAGGCCTACAGCAACTCTGAAGCAGCTGCAGGAATTTATGGCAAAGAGTGGTCATTGTGTGCATGTGACAACAATATCACAAATTCTCCACAAATATGGCTTGTATTGGGAGGGTTGCAAGTAAAAAGCCACTCCTCAAGAAAGGCCACATGCAGTCACAACTGAGTTCACCATCCTATAACAGCATTCCTCCAGTAAAGCATGGAGGTGGCAATGTCCTGTTATGGGGTGTTTCTCTGCAGCAGGTACTGGAGCACTTGTCAAGATAGAAGGAAAAATGGATGGGGCAATATACCGTCAAATTCTTGAGGAAAATCTGCTGCCCTCTGCCAGAAAGTTGTCAATAGGAAGAAGGTTTACCTTCCAACATGACAATGACCCAAAGCACACAGCTAAACTGAGCACATAGTGGTTGAAGGAGAAAAGACTTAAACCCCACTGAAAATCTGAGGAATAACTTAAAGACTGCAGTCCACAAACGCTCACCATCAAATTTAACTGAACTTGAGCAGTTCTGCAAAGAAGAGTGGGCAAATATTGCAAAGTCTAGATGTGCAAAGTTAGTAGAGACAAATCCCAACAGACTAAAGGCTGTAATTAAAGCAAAAGGGTGGTTCAGCAAAATACTGACACAAGGGGGTGATCCTTTTTCCAACTCAGTGATTCTGGTTTTGTAATTTTTTTCTGACATGTTGGTATTATATCTTTCATATAAGTAAATATAGCTAAATAAAACAAAAACGGTGTCCGTCAGGCTGCAAAGCAACAAAATGTGATTATTTTAAAGGGGGCGGTGATTCTTTTCTATACCCACTGTAAATACACACAATTGTAGGTAACAAACACAGGTAACATGCATGTTAAATGAATAATTCCCTCAACACTTCCAACAGAAAACCAGTTACAGCTTAAATGGGAAAAGCTGCCATATAAAATCAAAGCACATAAAACAGTTTGAAGCTTTTTACATGTTTGATATTTTTGCCATTTTGTGAGACGCCTGATCGGCACAGACAGCAGCCGCGTGTCACTCGGAGTGGCATGTCATTATGTACGGGCCGTCCCGCCTGCAGCTCTAATACTGACATGGGTTATAGCGTGTTTCCGCATGAGAGCCTCTCCTCATCTATACAGCATATACACACACACACACACACACACTTGCAGGTATTGCAGCACAACTTTTATCACACTCTTGCCATGTATCACTGTCATTCCTTCCACTAAATAACTTTCCAGCTTAGATTTGTCCTGATTTTATTTTGACGTCATCAAGGCCTCAGCTGTGACATGAGAGGTGCGTTACCATGGTGACAGTTTGCACCACCTTAAGTTTGTTGGTGCTTCATTTGGTTGTTTTACTGAATATGTTGCACAGTGTAGATACCTGTAGATACCTTAACAGTGATCAGGAGCAAAAGTCACTCTATCTCCTCTCAACTGTCAGAATCACCGCCATACCAATCAGCCAATCAGCTGCTTGCTGGAGCCCGTAATGAGAGCGCAACGCTGATAGCGTTTGGAAGAGATTCTAATCTGACTCGCACAACATATAGGGTGATGGCATCCACAGATTTGTTCTTACGTCATGTTTTTTTTTTCCAGGACGTTGTACCCGCCCCAGTGTCTAACACCAGTGAAGAGAAGGTGAAACAGATCATGGTTATACAAAGTGAAACTTGGTTACACTCAAAGTTGAATAAAATCTCTTTCTCTGCATTGCAGAAGGTCCTGTCTCGTCAAGAGGAGCTGAAGGAGAGGGCCAGGCTGCTATTGGAACAGGCCCGTAGAGATGCTGCCATGAAGGCTGGAAACAAAAGCACCACTAATGCACAGTCACCCACACACTCGCCACAGATTATTGATGTGAGTTCACACACACATACAGACTTTTGCTTAGATATCGATATTCATAGATTTCTGTTGTTTTTACACGACTGTTCACAAATTTGGGACTTTGGGATTTAATCTCTTGATGTTCGCAACCTGCATTTATTTGATAAAAAATACAATAATAACAGTAATACTGTGAAATAGTTACAAAATTGTATATATACAGTATATGTGTGTGTACTTTATTATTATATATTCTTTATTTTTACATTGTAATGTATATATGTGATTTATTCCTGTGATGGCAAAGCTGAATTTTCAGCAGCCATTACTCCGGTCAAATGTGCTCAAGAAACATTTCTTGGTAATACTTTACAATAAGATTCCATTTGTTAAAATTAATTACATTAATTTACATGAACTAACAATGAAAAATACTTGTAAAGCATTTATTAGTCTTAGCTAGTGTTAATTTTAACATTTACTAATGCAATATTAAAATCAGACTTTGTACAGTATCTGTTAATATTATTTATTCGACCTGAGCAAACATGAATTAACAATGAACAGGTGCATTTTTATTATCTAGCGTTATCAAAGATTACAGGTTTTTATCACTTGCACGAATTAACTGTGGTTATAATAATAATAATAATAATAATAAATGTTAAGCATTTGGCCCAGTCTGCAACGTCCGGCCTTGGTCCCAAGATGGGCCGACCGACCCGATCAGTGGTTATTCAAATTGGATGTTCAGTCAAAATCAAGCACGTCATCGGAGAGAGTGCATCATGAGCTAATTGTCAGTAAAAGCTAGATAATGGACTGTAAAAAAAAAAAAAGGAAAGGTGGTGCAGAAAAACTTCAAGAAAGCAAAAAAAGGGTTCTTGCGTCCAACGCTGCCAAATTTGTAAAATTAACCAAACTCTTTTCAAAAGGTTTAAATTCCTTATCGTAGAACCCCCGTATATTTGAAAATGTCATTGCTTTGTGATAATTGGTTACAAGTGTTAGCTAGCCTTTTACTGAATTGCATGACTGAAATATCAGCAGATAAGGTGGGATTTAGGATAAACAGACTGCTGTAGGCTACTTGCAATGTAGTCTAACACATCAAAAACCTTTAGCAATAGCCATAGTACTGTAGACATTTGTAATGAACTTCACTTTGAATACATAGCTACTCGTATATCAAAATAAAACACTGAATACGTTCATACATAGGTTACAGTATGTAATTAATCCTTAGGTAGGGTGGAACATAGGCTTCTATTACAGGCACTCATATACAATAGTTAGATGAGGAATTATAAGCCATTGTCTTACTTATGTTCTCCCTTGTCTGAATCGTGTGGTCATCTATTCAAAACTAGAATGTTGCTGGATCCAGTGCAGACAGCAATGAGAGAGACACACCCTGACACAGATGCTGCCAGTTTCTTAATACTGTGGCTTTAATTAACCATTAATTTAACCCTTAGGAAAGGAGGAACCTGTGCATGTGTGTCACACACACACACACACACACACACACACAGATCACAATCACACACATAACTTTACTGTGTGTGTAAATTTGTTATATAGGCCTATGTGTGCTCTTTAAAAAGTAGTAAGCATTGTTGCCACATATGTTAAATGTTTAAGTATCTGTTAGATACGGTACTGCTTATATTATTTCACCATGTGTACACAATACACAACTGTAAATAGTGAATGTGCGTGCCCGTGGTAATGTGGGCTTGTGTGGCTACAGTGCCAGGGCTGAATTTTTGTCCCAGTCCACCACTGGATATGACTAAAACTCAAATCCTTTTGTACATGTAAACGTTTTGTATTTTTAGAGTTATTTATTTATTTAGTTTTACAAATTTTCAGTTGTTGATTTCCCCAAAATTCCCAAAAGAGTATTGCTAAGTGCATATACACCTGCATAGTAAGTCCTTACCACTGTTCCCAGCTCCTCTCAGGATGCTCCTTTGTCCTGTCAGACAGGAAGTAATAGAGAGTAATATTATTCTGTAGCCAAGAGCCTGCATGCTAGAGTCTCTTATTTCACACAGGACAGGTCTTTAAGGGTTACTCAAGGACTCCAGGTAGTGATGTAGGAAGTGACCAGTCAGAGTCTCAAACGCTAAATAAACATGCTCTGCTGAGCTCAGTACTGCAGGACGGCTGACACTTGATGTCGGAAAGCTCAGGCCACATCCGAATAACATTTCAGTTCTCCTGACATCCTGTTTTAGGGGGAGAATAGTGTGAAACGCAGTGGCATAAACATACAGAACCACAGGGGAGGGGTTTTCAGGACATGATGAAATATCTGGCGTGTGGCGGATTTATTCAGACGTTTTGCTGTGTGAATTTTTAAAAGGAAATGAGATGCCCTTGAATTAAATGCATAAGAAATCAAAGAACAGGAACAAGAAGGCACCTCAATGTGAAAAATGTTTTCAAAGAAAAATATTTTCTTTTCTCGTAGTCTCTCTCTCGTGTAAAAGTCCTCTGTGCTCTGATGAAGGGGAGATGGTCCTCGTCCTGTAAATTAACCACAAATTAGCGTCAGTGTGTGCGTTCACAATGCCTCCATCCCAAGGACGATGTGCTAATGAGGCTTCGGTGCATTAGCCTGCCAGAATATTGAATTGTTTCACTTTTTAATAGAAAACATTGATCAAAAGGGAGCGTGGCTTGGCACGCTGGTAATTGTTAGTGATTTAGATTAGATTAGTTGATGTCTTGTTTTGATTAGTAAGCCCTGTTATCTTATCACTGGCCTCTGCGTGAAGCTCCTCCACTAAGAAAAGACTTTACGCTTTAGCATGCAGAGGGAATATTTTAATTAAATTAAGACTTGCTCCATTCTTTTAAAGCAGAGATAGAGATGGAGGGGTGAAAGTGAGGATGAATGAGAAAGAGAGAGAGGGAAGTCATTGGGGTGTAGTGAGCTTTTCAGTCACGCACATGGCATGGGCCGAAATGCTATGTGCTTCTTTTACTGCCAACTGCTAAATGATCCTGACGTTCAGATGAAAGACTGAAAAACAGGGCAGATTTGAGAATATTCAGTTTGATATTCAGGTATTTATTGTATCTTTAATCAAATAAATGTGACCTTGGTAAGCATAAGAGACTTCTTTCAAAAACATTTAAAAATAGTACCAATGCAATTTTTTTGAACTGTAGTCTATTCATTTTTAAAATATCTTGATTGCTTTTGGACACAGTACAAGCTATCAAGTTTTGCTGTCGGCTGTTGTCTTTTTTTTTTTCTAAAGCAACTAGCCCTTGTGATATCCTGCCTCAACTTTCAACAGGATATAGAAGTTAAAATTTTTTTCAAAACATTTCAAGGTTTCTCCATGTTTGCAATATTGTTAGAAGTTAGCATACAGACTTGATTGTGCGTGAGAGTGTGTTGGATGACCAGCGGGCCAGTCATTGTCCTCAGTCAGTGGTGTGTTTCAGTGGGCCCATCAGTGAGCCCACCTCTCTCATCAAGAACTGCTCTGCTTTAGCATGCAGAGGGAATATTTTAATTAAATTAAGACTTGCTCCATTCTTTTAAAGCAGAGATAGAGATGGAGGGGTGAAAGTGAGGATGAATGAGAAAGAGAGAGAGGGAAGTCATTGGGGTGTAGTGAGCTTTTCAGTCACGCACATGGCATGGGCCGAAATGCTATGTGCTTCTTTTACTGCCAACTGCTAAATGATCCTGACGTTCAGATGAAAGACTGAAAAACAGGGCAGATTTGAGAATATTCAGTTTGATATTCAGGTATTTATTGTATCTTTAATCAAATAAATGTGACCTTGGTAAGCATAAGAGACTTCTTTCAAAAACATTTAAAAATAGTACCAATGCAATTTTTTTGAACTGTAGTCTATTCATTTTTAAAATATCTTGATTGCTTTTGGACACAGTACAAGCTATCAAGTTTTGCTGTCGGCTGTTGTCTTTTTTTTTTTCTAAAGCAACTAGCCCTTGTGATATCCTGCCTCAACTTTCAACAGGATATAGAAGTTAAAATTTTTTTCAAAACATTTCAAGGTTTCTCCATGTTTGCAATATTGTTAGAAGTTAGCATACAGACTTGATTGTGCGTGAGAGTGTGTTGGATGACCAGCGGGCCAGTCATTGTCCTCAGTCAGTGGTGTGTTTCAGTGGGCCCATCAGTGAGCCCACCTCTCTCATCAAGAACTGCTCTGTGTGTGTGTGTGTGTGTTTCTCTTGTTCTTTTACATGCCATGTTAATTGTGCTGCATTGTGCTGCATTGGCTCACTTGCTTTGATCTTTGCCACCACTGTCTGTTTCCCTCTCTCTCTCCCTCTCTTTGTCTCTGCTTCACTTTCTGTCTCCTGCTCTTCTACTTTTTGCTAACTCTGTGTATATGTGTGTGTTTAGGTCTTTGATAGTAGGATTATTTAGTAGTGGTCATTGTACTATGGGTAGGTAGCCGTCACAATCCATTAGGCCCAAACCTCTCAGCCGCTCTCGTATTCTTCACCCCCTGGTGAGAGCAAATCGCTAATTAATGAAAAATTAGAAAAAGCACAGCGGCACAACACCCCTTCATGCTAGTGTACACAAACATACATTCTTAAAGGAATGTTCCAGGTTTAAGTTAAGTGCTATTGTCAACATTTGTGGCATAGTGTTGACTACAGCAAAATAATTTAATCTCATCCTCAGTTTTTTAACAAAGGCAAATATTGGGCTGGTAAAACATTTAGTGATTCCAGAAGATTTAAAAGATGCAGTGTGAAGCTCATTCATATATATATATATATATATGATATATATATATATATATATATATGATATATTTATAATATATATTTAATAAAAGCATATTTATTATTTAATTTTTAATTGTAAAATCATATAAATTGTATTTTTTGAAGTGTACATATTTTTCTAGGTGAATTAACTTGTTATTCCTGTGGGTGCAGAGGTTATTTTAGGATTATTTCTATACTGTTATAGTATTTATCAATATTTTAAATGGGCTTTTATTTTACATTTTCTGTT